CTTGTTATTGTGTGTTTATAATATTTAATAAGCGAAACTCTGACTCACTCGCACGGCTTTAAGATGCCATCTCTTAACATGTAAAACACACTGACAGCCATGGTTATGGGAAATCTTGAATATTCTGCCAAACCATGGGCCTTCCCCTCTGCTGACATTCAATCAGTCATTCCAGTGCCAGCCAATGAAAGGTGCAGACGGATGGGGGAGGACGGAGCTCCAAGACTGAGCGTTTTGACGCGCTGAGAAGGAGGACAGAGCGTCACATCTCTCCAAACGCCCATCAAACTTTCGGTAGAAAGGAGTCAATGCTGCAGAAGAGGCCCATCCGAGAACATATGCTGATTATTATAATTTTTTTGGACATGCAAAGCGATGGAGAGACTTTTGACGATGAATTTTGGTGCAGTTTGACCTCATTGTGATTCCCCTCTGAAAGCACCTTATCCAGTTTCCCCATCCTTTCAGCGACCGAGCGAGGGATGGAGCAAGCACCCAGCGCGCCGAGTCCTCCTCCAAAACCAGTCAACCACGAACCCATCAGCTTCGGCATCGATCAGATTCTGGGAGCCGGATCGGAGCCAGAGAACGGGAACACACCGGGGAGACAGAGTGGATCGGATTTAAGCAACGGTGACGCCTATTATAGCTTGGGAAACCCGAGCGGTGCCAATGCGCCCTCATACACAGCGCTGTCAATCTCCCTCTCTGGGATCATGCCTCCAGCGGAGGCTTCAGCTTCATACGGAGAGAACAGGAGTTTGGGCAGCCGGGGTGTGATACGAGTCCCCGCTCATAGACCAATTACGGCCCCTGGACCCGCGGCACCTGTGCAGAGCGCAGTTCCTGGGTTTGGAGGGCTGTGCTTCCCTTGGATAGGAAACAGGTTCGCCAAGGACAGAATATCAGGTAGGCCAGCTGGCAGAGCTAACGGGATCCCCTCATTAAAATTTAATAAAGTTTAAAACGGCATCAACGGCACCTATATCAAAAAAAAAAAAAAAAAAAAAAAAAAAAACTTGCTTTTCAAACCCACAGAAATGTTTTTGGTTTCTTTGTTATCAGAATAGTTAAAATACATCTACCGGTACATTTGTAGTTATGATATTTAATCAAGAAAAATACAAATCAGTTAAAAATACATTTATAGAACAGCAGAAATGCTGAACTAAAACAAAGAAAAAAGCACAACTTAGTATCAATAAGTGGCAAAAAGTCAAACTAACTATATTGCTCTGTGTTTTTTTATTTAGGTTAATACTTCCATCAGTCCTAAAATGTAAACATAAAACGGAATGATTAAAATGAATGTCCTAAAATCATTAAACACCACAGCCGGCTTCTCTTAAAATTAGGATATTAAAAAACATTCTGTACTATAATGATAAATTGTTAATAAAAAAACAATAAATATTTATCATTTAGATAGATAGATAATTATAGATAGATAGATAGATAGATAGATAGATAGATAGATAGATAGATAGATAGATAGATAGATAGATAGATAGATAGATAGATAGATGTTTAAATTCAATTCAAGGTGTAATTAAATTCAAAGCTGGTTGAAAATGGCTTTACAATTTTTAAGGCTCGATAATGTTAGAGGTTGGGGATTATTATTATTTTTATATAAACACACCATAAAAGACAGTATAACAAACTATAATTTAACAGTCAAGAGGAAAAACTAATGTGGAGTCAAATAAATGAAAGATAGAAACCAAAAACAACCTAAATAGGAAACGTGTTCTCCATGGCGCATGTGATTGGCTGTTTGGGTTTGGGCATCCAGGTAACCATGAATGATTGTTTGTTACACTTTGTGTAAAATGTTCCTGTATTTATAACTCACCTCCTTTCCTGCCTCCTGCAGCGGCTTTGGTGCCTTTTGCAGTCACTCGGCGAATAGGTCACCCCTACCAGAACCGAACCCCACCTAAGCGGAAAAAGCCCAGAACCTCCTTCTCCAGAGTCCAAATTTGCGAACTGGAAAAGCGCTTTCACCGGCAGAAGTACCTGGCCAGCGCCGAGCGCGCAGCTCTGGCCAAAAGTCTGAAGATGACCGACGCGCAGGTCAAAACCTGGTTCCAGAACCGCAGAACCAAGTGGAGGTTGGTAGGAAACATAATGGAGCAGTGAATACATTTCT